TGCCACAAAACAGGCTTCTCTGGAATCATCTGCTTCCACTGCAGTATTAAAAAACCAAGTAATAAACGAATCGTCAATATGGTCATCACGCAGCAGCCCAGCATCAACAATTTTTTGGAAGAATTCATAAATGCATTGCAGATGGACCCAGGACCCTTCAACCAGTGGCCTTTTGTCCCCAGGACCATAGAGCTCATTCTCTTCTTCAGAAACAACAGCTGTGGGAGAGGGAAATGGCCTGAAAATGTTTGCACGGAGAATTTTCCTGATTATGCAGACTGCATCTTCCGGTAGGGATTCAAGAGTAGGAACATAATCGCTCAACTCTTTAAGTATATCATCCCTTTCAAATATTGCTTCGATCATATCAAGTATTACTGCAGAGGCAACTCCGCTCTGTCTGACATCGGAAAGGGATTGCTTGGCCTTGAAGTGCTCTATGAAGCGCTTGAAATCCACAATTTCCAAACAGCGGCGCAGCTTATTCAAGAAGGCATCACCCCTGTTTTCCACGGGAACGTCTCTGATTCTTGGCAAGTTTTCTTCTGTCATGTCTCCGATTGTGGTAGTAACAGAAAAGAAACAGAACGACATGCCGGAAGTCACTCTCTCTTCTTTTTGCACAGTGGAGTCTGCCTCTGCCAAGATTAAACCCCAACAGAAATTGAGTCTTAATTTGCAGGCATTTCGACCAATAGATTTCTTCTTCAAACTCAAAATCAAGAAACAAACGCAGAATCACTACAATCCTTTCTTGTCTTTATTAAATCCAAGAAGAAGGATGCAGAACAGTTAGAAACAAGACAGGGTTACTTACATTAATCAAATTGAAACTAAAACCCTCGTCTTCTTTCTCCAAGTTTTTCTTCAGCAACAAGAAGCAATCTTTCATGAAACATTGAGACATCTCTCTCACATAAGAATATACAGAGGAAAAGCAGGGTAGAATTAAGGAAAAGAGCTCAAGAAACTTTTACCAGAAACAAATAGTCATTGAATTCGGGGATACCACAACATGATTTGTTGTTGCATTCTGTAGAATTTATATTGATAGTGAAAACAGAGAACCGTTGGTGAAATTGGCAGAAACCATTATAGGTTGTTATGGCGGAGCCACCACTAGAACTGCTAAGCCCTGTTCTAGTCTTAATGCCAACCTCCTCATGAGTAATCTAGATATATTGGAACAAACAAGAGCGTAAGAAAATGCGGAAAAACATTATTCGGAAAATATTTTCTGGCAACCAAACATACCCTACATGGTAAATATATACACTGAAAAGAAGAGATTGAATTCAGTTTTATACAAACACACAAGAGCTGGAGATTAAAAGCTCGAAAGGCATGCAAAAACCGAAGCATCCAAATTCACCAACTATATCATTAAAACATAAAATTAACTCAAGAAGAGAAAGAGCATAACGATGAAAGTGCGAGACCCACCAGGGAACTCCAAATGGTCATACTGATATCAAATTCGAGCTTCAGATTAGATTAGCCCTAAACTCGAAATTAAAAGAAGAAAACATCTGAACTTACATTTTCCAAGTGAGAAGAGAAAATCATTAGATTCAAAACTCTGGAAGCTGAAAATTTTTAGAAAGAATCAAGAAACAGAAAAAATCGAAGTACCTGAACGTTGAAGCTTTCTTCAACCTTGGTATATGGCACCATGAAGACGTAAAATGCAGTTGTTGATCCCAACAGCAATCGTACACGACCGCCGGTGGGCAATTGTAAAACGAAAACTGAACGAAGAAACGATCTACGAATTGAAGTAGCGTGTGTATTCACATTAGAGCTGGAGATATTGGGTTGCTGTAGGCTCCAGGGAAGAAAAGAAAGTGCGGTCCTAGTGTCTGAAAAGGTTTCGCTTTGCGTCATTTTCGCAAGACGGCACTCGCCTCTTGCGCTCTCCGACCAACACTTCCACTTTCATTGGGCCACGTAAGCTTCTTTTTGCTTGGACACGCAACCACTTAAAACAAGATGACGTGGCCCAATAAAAGTGAAAGTGTTGGCCTGAGAGTACAAGAGGCGAGTGCCATCATGACAATTTGTAAATTCTGTGCTTAACCTGCCCAACCGTTACCGGGTTGCTAAAAGGGCATGAATGGATAGCATGGATGGATACACATTTGTGCTATGCCCTTTAAAATATTATAGCAATTGTTCTATTTCTCCTAAAAAAATTCTAATTGTAATACCCTTTCTGTTCAGTTTTAGTAAACTCAATATTTTTATCTAATAAAATAAAAATTTATCAATATATTAATAAAATTTTATATTTATCTCTATTTGTTTGCCTACATATTATCTCTAAT